TTAGGATTTACAAATGCTTTGTCATTTGTATTTATACTTGTACTGCATCACAAGGCAGTACGTACCGTAAGGGAAAAACTCCACATGTGAGATTGTCTTGTATATATTTTTGCTTTCTTTGATAAACACTATTAAACACGCAAATTTTAATTAGTGAGACGCAATGTTAAATGTCACCTGCATGTCATTGTCATTACCCTTTAACCCCTGGTCTAATTGGCCGCTTTTGAAAATATTGATCATGACGAACCGCACTGCCTTTTAATTAAATGCAAACTTTGTGTTTTAAAAACGGGTTAGGATAAAACGCGGACATGGACGGACGGATGAATGACGGACGGACCGGGCGGATGACATATATATGTCGTTATATAGTCTGCGCGCAGCCGCGCAGGGTAGTTAGTGCCTTACGTCTTCGCTGGTTGTTATACTTTAAAATAATTTTGTATGTACAGAGAAATCAATATTCCGAGTATATAAATATATAAACTGGGATGTCACACTGATAGCTTGTTTACATTTCCTGGAGCATCATGAAATCTTATGTTTAACCAGGGTGGTTTAACCCATTAGCTGGCGATGCGCCCTTCCCTTGTCGAGCGCCAGAAGATTTTACTCGTCAGTGGTATAGAGTACTGCCAGTAAATGGGTTAACAAACCTATCTGCCAATGGCTCTTGTTAATTCATCAGCACAGTAATGACCCCTACTTTAGTATTTACCCTGTCCAACGCCAGACGATTTTTAATACTCAGTCAGTGGTTGGGTACTGTCAATAAATGGGTTAACAAGGATAACAATAATTAGCCTGCATGGCAGGCGGTATTTCCCAATCTTGCCCAATTTTAGGAACCGCCTGCCATGCAGGCTAAACAATAATAGGATGTTTCTGAAGGACTCGTTCAACACCCTGTAGTTTGTCTTTTGCTGTCAAAGGCAGCATTACTGCCCTGTGGGTAACCTAGTTATAAATCATACAGCGGGAGCTCAGACAAAACTCAGTCGAGTTTGTTTCTTGTGATGTATATTACTTATAAATTCATGTATTTTAATACGTAGTCGTTGAAAGTACACTGTTCAGCCTTTGCAAGCCTTATATAATTAGCTACTGTCTACTAAATATTCTGTGGGCAAAAATTATAATTATTAACTAGTATTACATGTCTTGCATGGATGTGCGCATATTATAGTTGAGAGTCGTGTGAGCCGCATTGTCTTTAAATTATATATAAACACTATATAACCTATAAATGTTTGTCATTTAATACTGATTAGCATTTTATATATACATGCTTGGCTTGAAGGACTTATTACATACAATTTATTCACGTCTTCTGAGAAGTTCGGTGTATTGAATTCTCCGCAATGCGTCAAATATAACGCGTACAGGCCCTAGCTAGTGGTTAATAGCAATGAGACTACAGTAAATCGATTGAAACACGTTTGAGGAACATAATAACATATACTCTATGAGTTAATCGAGTTTCACTTTTCAGTAGTGTGGTATAGTGAATATATATAATAATAGCTGCAATTCTATGCCCATATATCAGTACAGAATCAGTCTTTTTCAAATATGGAATAGTCTTCCTTTAGTGTATAGCCACGATAAATTATAATTAATAGTTAAAGCCTATTTACGTATTACGCATCATATATCAAATGAGTTTATAATCTCCGTCTCCATCCGCACGAAATCACAATCACAGTATAATATAATCATATAATTACGTCATTCACCGACGGACTTTTCAAATTTACCGATGGTAAATTCATTTCTCCATCGGTACCGATGGACAATCTCTATTTACCGATGGTGCATTGCCTTACCATCGGTACCAACGGTACCGACGGACAACGTTTTTGAGAGCTACCAATCTCGTACCCATGCAGAGCCATCGTTGAGTGGCTCTGGCCACACGGGATTGAAAAACGATCCTGATTGGTCGATCCATAAGTTATTGGACCCATACCCCCTGTGGCGTTCACGAGCGCGGCCAATATGAGTGAATACGATATATTTTGCTTTATTTGGCCTGAAAAGTTGCTTATTTTGACGAATTTTTTGTTGCTTTTCGTCCGAAAAAGTGGTGAAGGGATTAAGGAGTTGATTTATGCATACTTGAATTCATTTGGGCAAAATAACAGCCTTCCGGTTATGGTAATATTCATGCTCTTCGTTCACTCTGAGTGAGTATTGATGGGAATGATGGCATATGTCCTTGATCTACTATATTGGAGTGTTATTATTGAAAAGAAATCCAAGCGTACAAGACTTACAAGCGTACACGTATGCTAGGACTGTGTTTATACAAGATTTGGGATTTTTTAATTGAACTATAAATGTATGAATCATCATGGACATGGTGTGAATGTAACAATTAAACAGCATTTGGATTCTTTTGCAACTTGTCAACTCGTTTGATAGAATTGTTTGATGATATAATATATTGTTTCTGTTTACAGTATTGCCTGTACAACTCTGTCAGAAACATTGGTGTTAGTAGCCAAAAAAGGTTTCATTAAAGGCCATGTAAAGTATGTAATGAAAACAAACCCTTTGTTTACATTCTGAACCCAGTGCTATAGTTGTAAAATATTAAATATATAATTATCCTAAAGTACTTTTTAACACTCTTCTGGTTCGCTATGCTTGTAATTGAATTCAATCCAAGAAAGTTCGGAAGGTGCGAAATATTAATAACATTCCAATGGTCGGGTCCTGACCATTGGAATGTAGGCCTCAGGCCTGCAGAACGCATGCACAGAACAGACTTTACATGGTCATTAACAATAGCAGTATGCACTACGTACAGTATGTAATAATATGAAACCATCCACACAATTTATACAATGGTTCCACTAAAATTGGTAAATAAATTATTGTGAACTGTTCCAGTCTTGCTGTGCTGAGTGGTTATATAGTAATACTAATACTACCTGAAAAAAAAACAAGCAGAAACTCAACATTGGCTACCAACTCTTGACGAAGGGCCTTCGCTTAAAATGTCAAATTTCTGCTTGTTTTTTTTTCAGGGAGTACTATATATAAATATCAGGTGTTCATTCTTGTAATGGATAACTGAGTGTGCAACAATTAACAATTGTATTTGAAGTCACAACATTTGCTCAACAAAAACAACTTTACTTTTTCAGAATAAGACTACTAAAACCAAATTTTAGGTTTATTAGTAAACTATCATAATAACTTCATACATCTTTAACAGTTTCAGGACTGCCGAAAGTAGGGATGCAGGCAAAAGCCCAGCTCAAAAGGGACCTCCAAAGCACAAAAAGTTGTGTCAGTGCCAGATAATATGCAGTAAAGTGTAATATATTGTAAAATTCTCCCATTTAATAATTATGATGTCATAGGAACCCCTGGGACAACTTAATGATGTCATATGGTTCCCCTGGAAAAGTTTTACTCTGGGCCCTGCACAACCTCCCAGTGGTACCATAAAATGAATTGCAAGTTCCAAAAAACCTTTATTGATTTCAATAATGTGTCATTCTACACATCAGCCTATCAAGTAATACAAGCATGAAAGTATAAATGATATTACACTTATTCAAACAGGACATTGTTTATTGTTATTAATCAGGTCATGTGTGATTCTTGATTCTTTAACCTAATTACTTTTTATCACATAATTAATGAGCAATGTACTTCTACAACCATACTATTCCATTCTTGAGTATTTTATTATATTAGACTCTTCATTATAATGCAACATGCCAAGTTGTTTACTGATCCAGAATACAGGACTGTATAATTTTAACTTGAGACTGATTTCTCTACTGTTTCTGGAGGTATTGGCAAAATAAAAAGATTATTATATTTATAGTCCCATATCTGAAAGAAATGTAAAACTAAAGTTATAAAATAGTCAAGTTAAGTCAACCATTAAACACACACTGGTATACTGGTACAGGCTTTTGCTCAATTGCTACAGCAGTACAGGCCTTCCTTATGGAGAAAAATATCTTTATTTTATCATTGTATGAAGAACAATATTTGGTTTTAAATTCCCTAGGTATGATAGATTCATAATAATGCATGTATAATAGTAATAAATACTGGGTATGATCAGCTCACAGGATATGCTATAGAATTTCTGAAAATCTGCTGCATTTTTAGGGGGTACGCAATATCTTTTGTGACATTCTAACTAGACTACAATTAGGATTGAAATTCCCAAATTGATGACATAAACAATATAAATTGTAACAAATTAAAGAATATTTAAAGGCAACCAAGGCAGTGTGCAATAAGCAACGTTCTTGCTCAACAATAGCCTATTTAATAAAGCTGAGAGTTATTAAATTACTTTTATATAACAAATAATCAAACATACTTATACCTTAAGCAGAAATCGGAACATTTTGAAGGGAACAGAAGCCATTTGATCGACGAGTGTTGACATGTGTACAAGTCGGTGTTTCGATCATCTCAAATTACTTGTAAAACGGAAATCACACGTGCACTTCGTATCCTTGTTGTTCACACTAACTGCGCCGAACATATTTTAATGCTTTTGACGGGAAAAATTGCGATTTTATTGATATTTTCAGCAAAAAGTTAGCTCTCCACTCCTCTTGAAAATACTATGGCGCGCGCGATTCCCGGAGAATGGGTACGAAATAGTTAATTGGAAAATACTGTACTTTTACCGTATTTTCTAATTAACTCAACTCGTGTGGCCAGAGCCACTCAACGATGGCTCTGGGTACGAGATTGCCAAAGGACTACAAGGAAAGGTCATTGCTGGAATTTTGAGGGGAACAGGTAAAAGTGATAAGATGCCATGTTGGTGTATTCGTATTTAATGATGGTCGCAGAATTTCTAATATTTTTCAGACTGACGAGTAACAACACCCAGGATATCCTACAATCTACACCGTGGCTGAACACCGGGATTGGAGATTAATGTTATGTTTACAATACTTTACCTAATTGTCAAATAACATCTGTGCTGTAAAGTCTATAACGTTTGCTCACCTTTCTTGGAACAGTTCTGATTTCTAGACAGCTTGCCAAAGCTTGCCTTATGGTACACTCTTGCGGAATATAGTCTGGTCGTCCTTTAGCTAAAAGGTGGCAGAGAAATTAGTCATACATTCTCACCATAGGTTTGATGAAATGATAGATATATAGTATTAGAATGCCATCAGACAACTTTAAATAACAATAATGATGGACAATGTACCTCGCTTTTTGTTTCCCACTGTTTCTTTTGCTTCTAGTGTAAATACATGGTTCGCTTGATCTTGATAATCCAATCTACAAACATAGTGAGACCATGTACTGTAAGTAGTCTTATTACGCTAAGAATTTATTATGCTAAGAATTAAAGGTAAGATAAAGTAATGCAAAGTATGGTGAGACAGAGAGCACAACAACAAATTTGAAGTAGAACTTGCCTAGTTATAAGATCTTCAACTTCATTTTCATTATTGGGACAAATAATTCCAAAAGAATCACCAGGGCTGTAGTCAAGTACAATATCCTAAAAGGTTGAGGCAAACACCGGGACATATTTCAGTTCTTGAAAACTAGGCGAACACTCCAAATGTAACTCTACAACAAAAACGTTTGATTTTATCCATCCTAAATAGCTATAAAGTAAAGAAGCTATTTTCAATGCCATTCCGCTTTTTTCTGGCAAGCTAGCTGTTTATGGTAAACAAGAAAGAAGCCCTATGGCTCCTATACACAACTAAACACAAAAAACGTGGCCAATAATAAAGTACATACACCTGTGTCCAAAGTTAAGCAGTAAGCGGTTTTTACAGCATTGTCTTTAGTCATCAGACATGCACTAACAATCTTTGATTGTGTTATTGGCGAAGCACTGCCTGGGAATTCGACTCCACCTTGCCAAGGACATGATGAAGTATCCTACAAACAGATACATACTGTATTAATTAAATAAACGTAAAATATCACGATTAATCAAAATCCTTAATTCATCCTGTCTATAATGACGTCACGAGCACTGAATTCTTGGCCTTGGAACCTCACCAAATAATCAAAGCGTAAGGTAACTCATTCTGAAAATGAGAGATTTGTGACGTAATTATCGAAAGCGTACAGTATATTGCACGAGCAGTAAGATATTTACTGTTTATTAGTTGTTTCACTCTGTTAGTGGCCTTTTAACTGAGGGAAAGGGCCGGGGAGGGACCTAAACAGAATGGACAGATGTCTTTAATTCGCACGACCAACATTGGTATAACACTAACATTTACGTTTCTTTGCTGATGAATTCCATTTTCTACTAATTAGGTATACAGTACTTTGGAGAATAAAAGTGGAACAGCGGGGCAGGGGAGTGGCCTCCTAGATCCTTCGTGTCACTGGTTGTGTAAGAGAGAATTTCACTTTCTGATTATTTACAATCATGTCTTCAAGAAAGCGTTATAAAAAAATGGATGAATTGCGGGAAACTCTTTACAATAATATAATTTTCAACAATGATATCAACTTTCAGAAAATAAACTTGTTTTAGCATTTTACAGTCATTTGGTTCTTTTCCTTTAATAGAGAAGTTCAGATTTGACTACCGCTACCACTATAACTTTCGCTGGCTTAGTACGCATCTGATTGGTTAATCGCATATATCAAACGCATCTGATTGGTTAATCCTTAATGGTGGCTGTAGTGGAATCAAATCTGAACTTCTTTAATATCTACTTTCAAAAACTTTCAAGAGACACGACCAGACGAAGTAGTTGCATGCTGCTCCCAAGTACATTTTAAACCTTTCGTACTTGTGCAGTGAGACTTATCGGGAACGACTTGCCAGTTTGGGCCTCTTACCGCTATCTTACTGGCATGAATACTTGGATCTCGTGTTCTTTTTCAAAGCGGTGAACGGCTTGGTCAACGTGTCTCATGACGTCCTACCCGAAGTCATGTCCCAAACCAGAACGACCAGATCCTCCAGTGGCAACCAAATCTCCTTCCGTCCGGCCAAATGCAAAACCTCTACCTACCAACGCTCCTTCTTTATTCGTGCATCCAGAACTTGGAACTCTCTACCAACTACACTAAGATCTCCTGACATTAATATTAGGCAATTCAAAACCGATTTACAAACTTACTACCTGACAGCCCTGAGAGAATGCTTCGACGAAGAAGATCCGAGGACATGGAAGACTATATGTCTGAAGTGTAACACTAGTCGTTACTTACGTTCTGAACTAACTTGTTGTTTTTAGTCATTTGTCCATGTACTGTATGTTATATATTCTGTATTATATAATACCTTATTGAATTCTGATCGTCTAATTGGCTGTTTATGATCACGTGATATTGAATAGAAAATTCCATTTCCCAAGAGTGCAATGGAATACGTTCCATTGCACTCTTGCGAGTGCAATTGTACTATACGTTTCATTCCATTGCACTCTTTGTGTTTTCGATAAATCGCATCCGTTAAAATGCTTCTCGTACGGTGATCGCTGTTTATTTTAACCCGATATTCGAAACTCAGTAAATGGGAATGGGATTTAATGCAAATACGACTCGTCAAAATGGCGGGAGCTTACAGTAAACCTTTTAATATTTGTCTATTTTGGTATTATATAAAACAAATAATGAATGTTTTTATTCGTGCAATGGTAAGAATATTTTCATTCGGTGAAAGATGGAATGTTCCATTCAACTCGGCTGTCGCCTCGTTCAATGGAACATTCCATCTTTCACCTCATGAAAATATTCTTACCATTGCACTCATAAACATTCATTATTTGTATATTGTATGTGTATTTTTGTATAGGGCCCACAGTAATTGATTTACACTGTTGTGGTGTCCCTGCCATTTTTGTCCATGACAATGTTTATTGTCTAGATGTCCGTTTGCTGTTCTGTTAAGTGTTTTTGGCAAAGTTTAATAAATTAATAAATAAATAAATTACTGACATTAAACTGTATACATACCCTCCGTACTACATCAGTAAACGTAATCGATAAATATGAAGCGGGAAGAATCGGAATACTTAAATCTAAAATAGAAAACAACATTAATTAAGGAATGTTTCCCTGCAAAATTGTGGCACAGAAATCGATCAATGTCTTTGCAGGAAATTCTGTTACGTGCATGTTGCAGGAAATTTTTGTCATGCTACGCAGTTTGTTTGTTGTTGTGTTCAAAACGTCTGAAATTTTTACATTTACTAGATTTATTGTAGTCATTATTTCATATCCCAGAGTATAAAATATAAGTACCCTCTTTGCTGAAGTGATACAGAAATGCTTAAAAATATCATTAATGTATGATGCGATACTTAATTATAACAATTTTAAAGTTTCAAAATAAAACAAAGAGCTAAAATAACTCACTGCAAGTCAACAATTAATATAAAAATTCAAACAACAAAAGTTTTACCTGATTCTGATAATGGTGCTCTAGAAATCCTTAACGACGGAGTTTTATCTTTAAGTTCTTGTGCTACAGCTTTTGTTTCTTCAGAAATACTAGGTTTATCTACGCTGTGTATCTGCTGTGCTGAATCGTTTTGTAAAACTTCTTTATCTATTAATGGCTTTGACGTGCCTTCATTTGCTATATCGACAGATGATGGCAATCGATCGCCATCAGTGGGTGTAGTTTGAAAAGGCCTTTCGTCATTTGTCGTATCTGTGCTGGAGTTGGGTAATGTATCGTCTTCGTTCTTAAAATAACAGATGCATTCATGTGAATTGTGACGTTCATGGAACCGGACATTATAAATGATCGGGAATGGAAAATGGTGGAATGAATAGAAAATGCATATGGTCAAGATTGGGTGGGAAGAAAATGAGACAGTGAAGACAAATTAATTTCAACGATAAATCTTTTAAAGCGCCAACAAAAGATGAAGCTTTATCAAAGTTAAATGAATACTTTAGAAAACTTAATACCCTAGAGGGGTATTTGGGAAAGGCTTAACCACAGTAACGAGTTACATATTCCAGAGTTGCAAAAAGTATTCAACCTTCCTCCGGGTAAAATTTCAGATTTTCAAAACCTCAAAATACTGTGCATGAATTATGGCTTTTTCCAATCGCAAAATGTATAAATTCCTTCTCATTCCTATTTTCTACTCACTAGTATTTAGCATTGATCAGCTGGTTGATTGCATTGTGCTCACATACAGACAAACAGTACAGACTGGCGTCTGGCGACCCATTTCCACTGAAGAAAAACTTCCACGGACAGAAAATGTTCCAAAAATATCATTGCTATTTCAACCTCAAAATTTTTTCCGACGCAAAATTTGTGTCGGTCAATTACATTTTACAAAATTTTCTTTCTGCGGAAAATGTTCCTGAGTGGAAATGGGCCTTTACGATTGCTACAGAAACGCCGGTCGCCAGAAAGCCATTGCAATAAGGCGTCAGGAAATGTTCTAATACATAACTGTGTGTGTTTATGATAAGCTAAAAGTACCCTTCAGATGATGAAGAATGGTGGTTACAGTTTTTTCATATCTCATCTCAATGCAGAGTGATTACAGTTTTTGTAAATTGAGCTATGACGTCATGAGCTGTGCTAAAAGTTGCAAGAAAAACTTAAAGTGGAATATCTCCAAGATGATTAGAGCAAATGAAATGAAACTTTGCACAGTTGTTGAATGCAGAAATGGCTATTTCTGTTGTTTTCATTGCTTATATTCTTCATGGGAACATTTTAGTACTTGTCAACTAAAAACTGTGAAGCAGGCGCTTTTCTTAGCCAGTATACAGCAGGAACCGTGTGACTTGATGCGCGGAGACTGGGTACTTGACTGCACTTAACAACTGTGTAAAGTTTCATTCCATTTGCTCAAATCATCTTGGAGATATACCACTTTATGTTTTTCTTGCAAACTTTAGCACAACTTATGACGTCATAACTCAAATTACAAAAACTGTAATAACTCTGGATTGAGATAAGATATGAGAAAACTGTAACCACCATTCTTCATCATTTGAAGGGTACTTTCTAGTAAAGCAATACAAATAAGGCCAAAAAATGCATGTCATGTGTACTTTAAATAGCTTAGCTTTGGTGCCATTTTTGTTGAACCAAAGTAAACGCGAAAACGCAGACGCTCGACACCATTTTCAGTTTTTATTGCATTCCTCAGTATTCTCCAATGTAACAGTTCATCTGGTATCGGTACTATCATTACCTGCCTAGGTAAGTATCGTTTATTTTTTATGGTGTTGTGTTGCGTACAGTGTTCTCCATTAAACCTTCCTCACTGACCTCATGTATGGTAAACCTTCCTCGCAGGTGGTAACCGTCGAATACCCGTAGCTTTTTGCAAATCTGATATATTCTTGCCACAGGCGCGGATCCAGCCTAAACCCTGACCGTGGCGCACTCCAAAACCGTCAATAATTAGGGGGGTCCGGGGGCATTCCCCCCCCGGAAAATTTTTGAAATTTGAACCCCGGAAATGCCATTTCCTGAGTTCTGAGCATCGAATTCTATCATATAATTCGTCATTAATTACGCCATATTTTAGAGAGCAAATAACGAAACGCACCAAATAAGTCAAATATTTAAACAACATACCATGTTTTTCAACGTTACAACATTAGAATGTTACAAAATCACTGTACTTACATAAAACCACAACTATGTACCGCATGTACTGCTCCTGTGTATTTCAGGTTCTTCGTAGCAAAAAATATCCAATTAGGGCTGTACATTGAACTCAATCATCTTGGCGTTTCTGTTGCAACGCAGGTCTTTTACGGGGTGGGTTTTTTCAGCTGCACATGCATCGATACCAAGTGTCTTGTTCTCGATCATTCGCTTAAACTGTGTAGCACGGAAAGTTGCCGTTGCGTGAACATTGGATTTTTCACCATGCTGACATAGTTTCTGGACAGCAGAAGCACTTGGAGGAAGAGCACTGGTCATCAATAGTTGGAGCTCGCTTGCATTATGCGTGCTTTATACTGCTTTATACTGCCAAAAAGAACACAAGTGACGCAAAAACCACCGTTTGCCACAGCAGAGTAAGCCAACCATGGAAATCGTGATAACCATGCCAACCGGAAACGTCTACCAATATTTTCGCGTGGAGGAAAAGAAAAATCAGAACCACGTACTTTTTCGAATCAGGAAGACTGGACACCAGATTTACGTAGTTGTAGATATCATCTGGCCACGAATTGGTGGAAGTTCGTTGTGTTTTGGTGTTAGATTTTTCTGAAGTAGGACCAGTGTTGGGAGTTACAGATGAAATTCCTTTACTAGTGCTGGGAAATTTGATTTCACTGTCTACAGTTTCTTGTGTGTTGCACGCTCGTTTCACAGGAAGCGCACCGATCTAAGATAATTTGTTTTCTTTTTGGACCAGTCGTCTGCTTTTTAGTAAATGTATAGACACTTGTGTAGAGGAAGGAGCAGAAAAAACTTTAGTAGAAACTTTAGAAGAAACTGTAGGAGGAACTTTAGGATGAAATGGCATCGCAGACTTCAATAAGGTTGGAAGGTGTGCTTTAAAATAATGGTCTCGTGGCTGAAGTGCTTTAACTGGTTTGCACAAGGTAACAAAATGATTTTTGGTAGATAGAATTCTTCCATCAACCAAATAAGACGGTGGCATCGCAGCACAATGAAAGATATGGACATATTCAATTGCACTGCCATCAAGATAATCCCGTAGATATACTGTATTGTACAATTGAATCCAAGGAATCCCAATTTTCTTTCGCTACAGTATCATTGGTGAGTGGGTAGAATGATTGAATGGCACACTGAATTACTGTGGGCAAGGCAAACATGCACACCATGGATGAGAATGTGTAATTTTTGCAGTTTCCTTTGCTTCTTCTAAAACTGCTGCATTTCATTACAATTCTCGAAAAAAGTAAGAGCTGCATCAGATACACACATGGCAGAGGCATTTTTAAGTGTAGTGAACGTTAGTATAGTATAGTATTTGGCATTCTCAAACAGTTCAATACTGGTGAGGCATCTCAAGTGAGCAGACAAACTCTCATTCCCGATTAACGCAATAGAACATGCATTAAAGAGACAATGAAGTACTGAAAGAATTTAAGCATTTAAGTATCAATGGTTATTTTATATTATTTTGTAAATATTCTATTGAAACTTTTAACCAGAATGTCAACTTCTTTACACCACACAGTAATTATGTGATAATTATACTTTGCAAACTTTGCTCAAATTATCTGGAGAACAAATGTTATACCTTGCCATTTGAGAAATAGCAAGAAACTATTTGTTTTCCCAAATGTTTTCCCTCCTTTTGCTTGTATAATCATGGGTCTCGTTCCAAATAACTTTGTGCCAATTTAGGATAATTACTAGAATTAGTCAGGGTAACCAATAGAACTAGAGTTGGTTTTAAGGTAAGGACTGGAGATTAAATTTTGGAATCATTAATATGGAAATTGAGCCATAATCATAATTCTTTTAACAAATGAGGCCCCATACAATGTCTTTGTGTAATTTGAGTAACATCATGATGACATCAAATTCACAGCTCTGGCCTTGACTAACTCATGGGATTTTGTTGCAGTTTTAGATTCGGGATTAGGTTTTAATGTCAGGATTAGGATCAGGATGACATCATCCACAACAACATCAATATTCATTCACAACAAACACCTGTGAGGTAGTCACCCTCCAGGGGCCAGTTGTTAAAAATATTTGCTGTGTTGGTGTAATGTACTCTGGTGAATAAGATGCATGTGTGATGTTATTAGAATGTTAGGGTTAGTAATCCAAGTGAGAATATATACATTTTAAGACCTAACCAGGAACAACTGCAAAAAAATGCAGCACAAGGTCCTCTGGTAGGAAATAAACCTACGGCCCTGTGATTCCTATCAGAGGACCTTGTGCTGCATTTTTCGCAGTCGTTCTTGGTTAGGTCTTAAAATGTATATATTCTCACTTGGATTACCAACCCTAACATTCTAATATTAATTCCACCAAGTGAAGTGCAAGAATCCAAATTGTGTCATGTTACTCTGAGTGTATATCCACACCGGGCAGGCTTGAAAAATATGCCTGGCCACGGTGGGATTCGAACCTATGACCTTTGGCAAAGGCATTGGGAGAGCACTGGGCTAGTATTCCTTGGCAGATCATTGGGCTAGTATTCCAAAGGTTGTAGGTTCGAATCCCACTGTGGCCAGGCATATTTTTCAAGCCTGCCCGGTGTGGATATACACTCAGAGTAACATCACACAAGCATCTTATTCACCTGAGTACATTACACCAACAGTCCAACACAGCAAATATCATGATTATTAGATTACACTGATATCGAAGGAACTAGACTCAGTTCCAAAGTATTGCATACTCAAACCGATCTGACTGCATAGCTCAGTTGGCAGAGCATTGGGCTAGTATTCCAAAGGTCGTAGGTTCCAATCCCACCATGGCCAGGCATATTTTTCAACCCTGCCCGGTGTGGATATACACTCAGAGTAACATCACACAAGCAATTTAGAAATACTTCTTCAGAAATCTTGTCTGGATGAATGAAAGTTTTTTTCAAAGCTTCGAAGTAAACAGGCATGCAGAAACACACAAACAAAAACACTAGGTTAAATTTTAACCAAGGATTAGCCTTAGCTTAGAACAACCGACCCCTGGGTCAACCTACAAATATTAATGCGCTATATTTAAAGCTTGGTGAAACCAAATAGACGACTATATAGACCCAATACAGAAGTAAACATTTCATTTTACAGTCGACAATCAAATGTTGTAGCTCTAAACAGTAGCAAAATACTGATAACTGTTTTAAACAGAGTTTTTACTAATATTTCACGACTACATAGCGGATAAATGCAATTTATATTTTATTAACCGCCATGTGTTCAAGATCATATTACTATTTCACTAACAAAAATTTACATACAAATTTGCATGCACAAATTTATATTCCCTGACCCCAGCGTATAAAATGCAAATTTAATATAAGTCGATTAAAAATTCTTACCTGACAGGAACATTAGGCCCAGATCTTTCAGTTTGGCTCTTGGAGAACTGCAGTTTTGAAAATTCGCACGTTGGCAGCACGATGTCGCCAGTAGATGCAACGGCGCAGCCTTTCTTCAGTGATAAATTCATCATATTTGTTGCCTCAAGAGCGATAATTCCCCTGAAATATGTTCGCTTAGGTTTGCTTGTTGAAAGATTTCGACGAGCTTGCTAAGAACATCGACTTTTTTTAAAAGCTTCCATCCTGATAGCATCCATGTATTATTCTTTATCCCGTCAAGTCGACAAGTATCGAACTTTATTGTTGATCATTGGTATTGCGCAATCAAAACAGAGCCACCGTGGCAGACCGTGGCGCACATGACCACAACTTCCTGAAGCATCAACGCTATTTATAGATGCATTAATTAAGTAAATATTCAAAATTAGCCACTCCCAAGCTGCTCCCAGATTCTCATCACCGCCCGACTGAATTTTAAAATCCTCGTGAAAACGTTTTATTTTTCGTTATACAATATAAATGTACCGCCCGACAAAATAATTCAAGACAGTTAATTTTTTCATATTTTATATAGAGTTTTTATTGCCATTTTAAACTTCCAATTTGAAACAAACAGCATTTTGAGTGAAATTTCATTGTATTTTAAAGAAACTCAGTCATTCTGTCATTGTTTGTGGAGATACGAACTCTATTGATATATAAATTATATAAATATAAAATATAAAAAATAAATCTCCCATTGTCTTCGACATTTCAAAGTGTAGACTGTGTCTAGTGATGAGAATCAAGGAATTTATTTTATGTGTTAATATAAACCAAGCCTGTTTAGCCGTTTAGCTGCCTTAAAACGGTGGTTTAATAAGCTCAAAATACAAAGCATGCAAGTCTATACTATAGATTCATCATCAGTCAACAACCAAACTGAAAGTATTGAACCTTGTAGAACGATAGTTTTTATTTGTTTACAACTATACATATTCAACGGGTATATATAAGAGTTTAACTGTTATTTGATAATTACTGCATCAACCGGCCCCTTGTTTATACTTTGGAGGTTCGTATATATTAATATATATCAAGTATCTTTGGTTCAGAACATGACTGATAGGCCTATATGGAAATCCCACTGTTCGGATTCAGTGAAGAAATATCTCCTAATTTCTTTCGATAGTTTTAGTAAAATGTCAACATTATTGCGATTTATGGCCTTTGAAAGTCAAGCGAGATAGTATATTATCAAATTAATACGCATGCAATTGTCTGAACGAAAATATAGACTAGCCCATACCTTTCGCCGATCATAACTTCGGCCCCTTCGGACGTATCTTTGTTAAATATTCTTGTTCGAATCTCTATCAATAACACTATTTAGAGTGTTATTTTTCAGCTTGTATCTTTTAATTTGCTTCTTTTATTATGTTATTCCATTTCTGGTCTGACTTGACGTGAACTAATTTCAAAACGCAGAGTTTCAAAACGTCAAAACATTTGGTTAATGATTAACATTTAACCGAATTTAGCCGTTGATTGACAACTACATAAAAAATACTAACCAATCCGTTTTTCCCGTTCACCAGCGGACGGGTAATTCAAAAACCCCTAGTTTTGCGGCAGACGGTATTTCCTTTGCTTCCCTAATTTTCGCTGCCCGTAGAAATACCGCCTGCCATGAAGGCTACAACTTGCCCTGTGATTGGTTTGCAACGCTGCACCGTGGCAGAAAGTTACTATATTTAGTAACAATTGCGCAATTTTTTGCACGCTGACCGTGGCATTTTGTGGCTGTGATCGCAGCTTCGAATTTACGACTGTTTTCCGAACATATTCGGCACAATTCGGCACGCTTTCGGCGGTTTTTATGGTTCAGTGTTTAACTGGATAATTATACTATTGAACAAGGAATATATTTCGGATGTTTTTCCTGCTTTTAGCACATATTACTGTAATATGAGAACAATTACGAAAGATATTATTCAAATTGTTTGCTATAGACCTATATTTGCTCAATTTTGCTCTATTTCAAATAACTAATATATACTTCTTAAAAATGCGTAATGCAGTCTAATGTAGTATCCAACAAAGGTGAACCCCGGAAAATCCTAGGTGGGAAAAATCTGACCGTGGCTCGAGCCACTTTTGCCACGGTCTGGATCCGCGCCTGGAAGTACTTTCAGAAGACAGTAGGTTCAACTTGTCATGTGCGTATATACATTTTTGGCAAGAAAAATTTCGAGTAAAACCGCATTAAAACTAAGTAGAATACTCTACAATGAATACTATATCTGTTTCTATAAACTTTGTCTCGAAACGAGCTCTCATTTCAGAGATAATGTGGTTTAAAATCAGTGTATTGAATTATGCCGCTACTTGGCGCGTGCGAATTCTGAACCTTCATGACAGGGATTTGAAAAGCTTCTAAAATACACTTTATTGCTTCATATATCCCCATAAAAATTTTAAATCAATAAAGCACATCATAAAACTAATGTACGCTCATTTTCTAAGAAGTACTCATCGATTACCTGAAGGAAAAGTTTAAAATAGGTCAGGAGGGTAGTTTACAAAATGCTGTTCTCCTCTGAAATGGCTTCTTTTGCGGGAAGCCATTAAATTTATGTACTTTCCAAAATTGTAATTTAGTCGCTTTTTTGGTCTCATTGTTCACTTATTTATCATGGAATTACTTCGCTTGAGCTCTTTTAATAATATCTGCAAGATACTTTGCTATTTGGTGAAATAAAAGCTATATTTTTAGCAGTTTATCTTTTGAAAATTGCATGCGCAACAAAGTGTTGCCAATGTGTTTACTCTCGTCTGACAAACAACCAAAGATGAAATACTTTATTTCACTCTTTTGTAGCAATCTAAAATACCTAAATATTAGATTATTCATTTTATTTGAGCATACATATTATATTTTTATACAATTGGTCCTTGAAAAGGACTTATTTCAAGCTAGAGTCAGATTTCAAACTAGAGTCAGATTTCAAACTAGAGTCAGATTTCAAAAGAAACCGCCTGTCTGACATTTTACAGCAACCTACATTGGCGTGCACAACGTTTTAGCCACAAATCCGTTGTTTTCTCAACAGAAACAAAAGGAATTTCAGTTAAAATTCTTACCTGATGAATATTCAAAAGTATTTATCTCTTTTTCACGACTTTCAGTGCTCTCAATAGCGAAATAAAAAGCCTTTTGTTTTGTCACCGCACGCTGCGTTTGAAAATGCCGGCTGTCAAAGTCAGAATTGAAAACACCTCAAATATTTAAAAAAAATTTTCTCACCTTTTTCATCCTTTGTTTATATTTTAATTAGTAATTTTTGTACTTCGTGTTTTTCCAAACATATTTGAGCTATTTAAAAACTTCAAAGAGGTACAAACACTGTGTTTTTGGGTTACAGAGTTTTTGCACTTGAACAACAAGTTCTGAAGTTCAAGTTCTCCATTGTAAACTAGATGTCCTGAGTGTGCCTGATCTATGCCCATGAAAATTTTTTATAGCGTTTCATTATTTTGTAATTTATACCCTACAAGATGAAAACTAATTTGAAAATAGATGTGTACCAATCCAGGAATCAAAAAATATTTCTCCATTTATGTTGGGTTATTGAATTATTGCCCTTCAGATGTTGGGTGTCATAAAGAAACAAAATGTCAGAGACTTAAATTTACACAAACCAAGAATTCTCACCCAAAAATCTAATGATATATTTAAGTGTGGGAGCTCATTTAAAATAGAATTGATTAATCATTTATCATTTTAACCCACTGCAAAATTTCAAGGTTTTTTATAACATTGATCTTGAGATATGGGTATTTTTGTAAAAGCAGTTGACAGTAACTAAAATTCGCCATTTTCCTTGCAACTTGGGGAGTGCCAATGTTGCAACAGTCTGCAACTTAATAAAAATGACATATCGATATTTTTCCTGATTGTATATTGCATAATATATTTTGAAGCAAAATTTTGCATCATTCTAAGCAAAACTTTCTGTTTTCAAATGATGCCAAAGAGAAATGTTTTTCAATTTTTGTAAGTTGTATTTATTAAAAGAAGTTTTAGTGATATTTAACTTAATTGACACATTTTTCTTTGTCCTTCTTGAAATAAATCCAATCAGCACGTTTAAAATCTTGATATTGTGTTCAAATATACAAACGTAAACTGATGCTGATTTTACCGAAAAATATCAATATTCTGATATATCAAAAATTTAAATATATTTATAACAATAATTTTCAGTATATTGATAAACTGCAACAGCCTATTACTGTGTTCAGAAATCCTGGCTTGAATAGTAAATATAAAAAACAAACTATTTACAAACTAATTATTACAAAGTCCCTTTAACAATAGAATAAGACTTGTCATTGTCAAATACAACATAATATCATCTGTTTGTGATTATGCACTTTTTCGAAAGTCGTTGATCCTGTACATACTTTGCAAGACATGAAGACATGTTGTTTTAGCAATAATTCCATGTTTGGAACAGGTATTGTACAAATGTATTTTCATTCAAGTTCAAAAACGATCCATGATTTTGGACGTGAACCCATATATCATGTACCATACATGTAGTTGTCTTTCAAGACTTTTCAATGGTATTCTTGTTAATTTCTCACTGAATTCTTGTGCTTTTCTGTTTTGTTAAGACGTCAACTTCCTCTTCTAAAACCATTAGGTCTGCCTTGTTTGCCGCAAGCTGAAAGATACATTTAGATGTGCAATCAGTATTACTTTGACAAACACATTATTGCATACAGATTGAGTTAAACTGTTAAGAGGCAATTTTTTCGATGTCATGTATTTGCAATGAAACGTGTTCAAAACAGAAAATCTTTTTGGTGTTCCTCTCAAAATTGCTTTGTTTTAGCTTTATTCTCTAGTTTATAGAGTTAGCTACCTTTTTAAATGCATTTGCCGATTGAGAAACACAAAATAATAGCAAAAAAATGTCAAATAAAATTATCAATGATGCTTTAAAAGTGATGCCATATTTACAGCAATATAAACCAAACTTACTTAACTTCAGACATTATTTTCTTTTTTGTGTACCTCTAAAATTTTTTATTTTAGCATTATTTTACATCGAAACATTTTTAATGTAGTCAGAACCACAAGTGGTTTTTTATACTCATTAGTTTTGAGTGTGTGTTGTGTAGTTAATTGTTAGCTTTATTAAACAATGGTTAAAAAATATACCATATCTAGAAGTATTTCAATTTTATACTGTAGTAGATTATTTTCTTCTTTGAGTTGTAAATTCTGTTCTTTCAGTTTTCTAACTTCGGCACCACTGCTGCGACCTCCACCAACGCCTGGGCTTTCTGCAAAACATATTAACCCATTGAGTCGTATTGCACCCCGATGCTCCTGACTGTATTATTTTACTCTGTTTAATGCCAGATTATTTTACTTGTCAAGAGGAGAGCACTGGTGCTTAATGGGTCAACTAGCCTATGTGTCTAGTCAACTACCTTAATATACACTAGTTAACCCATCGAGTCTAGTAAATTTACTGTCGTTCCAATTGAAGTGTTCCTCAAATATTGATTCAATACATTACCTCGGGCTGACCCATTCATTTCATCAAGTTCCTCGAGATATTCATACACTTCCTGTGAAAGAGCCAATTCCAAGAATTTGATCATATTTGGTCACTTCCTTTCTATTTATGATTGGTTAGTTGCACAAACAACAAAGGTGATTGGTGCATTCAAACTATTCAACAGGAAGT